TACATATTAACATCAATTATTCTCAAAATGTAAATTTTGATGTTCGATGCAGCTTTTCAGAGAAACTACTGTTTACAGCCATGTAAATTTTTTTATGATATATTTATAATGATGGCTGATATATACTAAAATTAGCTTTATGTAAAAAAAGCTAAAAAAAAAATTTTTACAAATTTTTTCCCTGAAAATCCGTCTAATTTCCCTATTTTTGATAAAAAATTATATAAATTTAAAAAAAATTCAAAATTATCTAAAAGCTTATTTTAGTATAATGAGAAAAGTGTACTCTATTTGTGTGGAAAAAATTTCAAACCTGTATATATAACAGATTTTAAGAAAAGTTTGTGAGTGAAGTTTCTTCACCGTCTTGCCTACCTAAGGTGTGGGGGAGAAATGAAAGCAGAACCAGAGACTTCCAAAATAACAATTACTTATTTACTCAAACACACTAACCAACAACAACTTAACCTCAGAGTAAATGTCAAAGGAGTTACAGAGAAAAAGATATCACTATTAAGCAAACGTGCGCAAGTAACTTATTTAACTCAACTTAATCTAATGTGGATGCAACCTAACGATTTTTCCACAATACCCTCCATTTATCATTTTCTTTAAGGGTGTTCAAAAGCTAAAATCTTTTTTTTTTTTTACAATTTGCATTTTACATTTTAAATTGTATAGATTTAAACCTTTCTAAAAATACCTTTACTTTAACCTCTAGGGTAATTAAAAGTCCTTAAAACCTATTTTAAATAATCATTGAAACTGCCCCCGTTTGAATGACAAAAAATGTAAACAAAGTACTTCGTTTTTGCTTAAAAGTGGAACGTCTGATATAAACCAAAACATGTATCTTTTATTGTAAATTGAGCCTTTTATTTTTTTATTTACTAGCCAATTAGAAGTCTCACTGTACACATTAACATCAATTTATCTCAAAATGTAAATTTTGATGTTCGATGCAGCTTTTCTGTGAAACTGCTGTTCTCAGGTATGTAAACTTTATATATATATATATTTATTATGACAGCTAATATATACTGAAATGAGCTTTTTGTAAAAAAAAACTCAAAAAATTTATCTTTTAGAAAATTTTTTATGTGAAAAATATGTCAAATTTCACTATGTTTGATAAAATATTTTATAAATTACGAAAAAAATCAAAATTAGGTAAAAGATCATTTCAGTATAATGAGAAAGGTATATTTTAATTGTATGAAAAATTTCAAACATATACATATAACAGATTTTGAGAAAATGTACATCGAAAACAGCCAATTTAACATTGTTGGTATAGAGAGAGGTTTCCTACTGCCCTTAAAGAAACTTGGGCAACTGGAATACCACTTAAATATTCTTCGATCTACCAAGGGGGCACACGTTGAAATTTACTGAGGTAAATGGCCTCATAAAAAATTATAATATTACTTACAATATATCGAAAAAGCATAGACCTAACTGTAATTGCTTGAGCATAATGAACATAAATAACCAGGACTAGAATTTTGTTTCACCCTATATACTGATAAGTAGTTTCTCAAATATAACATATCTTGAGCATTGAAATTTTAACATTTGTTTTGTTATAAGGATACAAATTATTGTATGAATTCCTAAAACTATAATCATCTTGGCATAGTGAAATTTCACAGACAATGTATTTTTTATTCAGATTGCTATATTTGACTTTTACCGTCAAGTTTACCTTGTAATGTTCATTCTAATTAGGTGACAGATAGGAAAACGAAAGATTTTGAGGTATTTTTACTCTCCCTCTTTTTAGATTCAATCGCCTTAATTATATTATTCGTTCCAAAAGTTTTAATTGTATAATCTAGCTATACTTTATTGAAGTTACAATGGGCTGTTTTGTTCTAATAGTATACTTTATAATATTAAATTTGGTATAGATTAAAAATTTTTTAAAAATGTTCATTTATTAGGATTTTTTTTTGCTATTAATAAGAAAGCGTAAATGTTTATTATGCTTAGATACATATTTCTCCACTTCTATTAAAACTTTTAACATCATATTATAATTGTCCATGTAAAAACCATCTTTTTTTTTTATTTTATTTAGTTAAATATTTATTTACTCATTATCTTCTTATGTTTATACGGATTAGTTAGTAAAATTTATCTTTATCGCTTGCATATTTCAAAGGTAAATGTTATTTTATACGTAAGACTTTCATATTGAAGAAACATTGATATTTCATGAAGAATAATCATCAATTTAAATCAGTCCTAAAAAACCTTTCTGAAGAACGTTAAAAAGGAATTCATTAAAGTGAAAGAAATCAATTCAGATTCATCAAACAGAAAAAAATAATGATCTTGTAGTTCTGAAAGTTTTATGAAAATTGAGCATATAAGTCATTATGATGCAAACTTAGATTAAGCTGAATAATTATGAAATGTTTTTGCTATATGGTGATTAAAATTATTGAGTGTTGAAACTTACAAACGAAAAGCTGTTCTTTCAGAAGCAAGATTATTCAAGTTAAATATGAAAAAAATTAACAGAAAACACGTGAGTTAAAAGAAATATTCGTGAAACAAATAAAAAATTAGAGTGAGAATTTTGTAAAAGAAAGCACGTAGGAATATTCGTTGTTGCTTTGTAAAATTTAATGCTGAAAAATATTCCTTTGGTGGCTGAATAAAGTCTACAAGGAAAAACTACAGTAAATTAACCGTATGAGACAATTTAGATACAGCTGAGTTTTAATCTTCACATCACTAATTTATCGAAAAACTTGATTTTGAATTTTGACACATTCAGGAAAATGAAAACTTTTCTCTGAAAATTTGAAATCAAAACGAATAAAAATATATTTCCACTATTTTGAAATTACAGTAGAAAACATATTGAATTTATTGATTGCGAAATGGAATACGAAAGCCATTTATGATCGTCGGACCTCGTCCTTTTCAATTACGATCAGGTGACGAATTTTGCGGAAGACTAAATAAAAATTACTGGTAATAATTTAATATGGGAGCATTACGCGCCAAGTTGTTTATGCTCACCAAGATGGGAGATAACATTACAATATGGTTACTTTGATATTTTTATCGTGGGAGCAAGTTGTTGCCATGGGGATGATGTATATTATAGTTGGTATTCATTAGTTAGTTTTTCTTTTTACTATAACCCTATTACGATCAGATGCGATTTTATTTAAATTTATTGACTAATTTAACCATTTCAGTGCAATCATTCTTCAAACTACTTTAGTCTTCGATTACAATTTTAGTGCTATTTTCGAATATGGATATTTCTAATACCATTCGTAAGTACCAGGATATTTTTAAAGAATATAAGAGAGGGCTGTGCTTTTATTTGCCCATATTTTTTATGAGATTTTTGTGATAAGACTACTGAGAATTTTAAATAATGATATTTTATTAATCTCAAATTTTTGACAAGGGGTGTTGGAAAGCTAAAATCTTATTTTTTTAACAAATTGAGATTTTTAAATTTCAAATTGTATATAGATTTTAATCTTTCTAAAAATACCTTACTTTAACCCCTACGGTAATTAGAAGCCCTTAAAACCTATTTTTAAGTAATCGTTGAAACTGGGCTACTCCCATTTGAATGGCGAAAAATGTAAACAAAGTACTTCATTTTTTATTAAAAGTTGAATGTCTGATATAAACCAAAACATGTATCTATTATTGTAAATTTAGCCTTTATTTTTTTTTATTTCCTAGCCAATTAGAAGTCTCACTGTACACATTAACATCAATTTATCTCAAAATGTAAATTTTGATATTCGATGCAGCTTTTCTGTGAAACTGCTGTTCTCAGGTATGTAAACTTTTTATGATATAATTATAATAAAGGCTAAAATATACTGAAATGAACTTTTTGTAAAAAACACTCAAGTGTATTTTTCACAATTTTTTTAGGTGAAAAATGGATAAAATTTCACTATGTTTGATAAGATAATTTAGAAATTATTAAGAAATTCAAAATTAGCTAAAAGTTCATTTCAGTATAATTAGAAAGGTGTACTTTAATTGTATGAAAAAAATTTCAAGCATGTACATATAACAGATTTTGAGAAAATCTACATCGAAAATAGTCAATTTAACATGGTCAGTATAGAGGTTTCCGACATGTTAAATAGAAAATATAAAGCAGTAAGTTTGAACCATATTTATCATAAACTGAATTCTCTGAAACTAAGTTTTAAAAAATATATTTTTAAATTACGTAAGTCATTTTTTTAAAATTATTATTTTTAAAATATTTTAACTGAAAAGTTTTCGTCAAAATATCTTTTTTTTTTGAAAATCATGCCATGTATGCTTAACCTACTCAATTTCTAATTGGGTATAAAACGATAACTCGAATCGCGTAGACCGATAATGAATATAGTTTCCTTCCTGATGACCAAAGCCATTGCGAATCAATAGATATGCGCATTATCAATCCGAAAATAGAGAGAACAGTCGTCAAGTAGCTGAAAGAGATTAACCTTTTGGAAACAGACCTCTCAGATACTAATGATTGGGGATTAGCTTACAGTAATCTTATTTTCCACTCTGGACAGAGAGAGTATCGATTGAAAGGACGTTGATTGAAAAGAGAGTGCTTTGATGGCTCATCAAACCCTATTTCAAATTGAATGATTCCGAGAATAAAAAGCAGTTCAGTGTCTACGTAATTACTTTCACTTTTGTTTTATCCAACAAACTTTCCCGAGATATATTTAGCTGTCCTCCAAGTTTTTCTTTTATTCAGTTCCTACTATTAGTTCACACTCTCACTATATATATATATGTATAATGATCCTGAATAGTTATACTTAGGTTCCACAGCTATCTCAGATATTCAAATACATTTTTTTTTAAAATTTGTAGACGATGACACTTGATGTTAATACAGTTCTTCAGATATTTATTCACTAGTTTTACTTAATGAATAAATAGTAACAAACAAAAATAATATTTCAACACCCTACATAAAAAGGGAAATCGCTCGTTGTGCCCCTTTAGCGCAATGGAAGCGCGTTGGACTTCTAATCCGAAGGTCGAGGGTTCGAATCTCTCCTGGGATGGCTTTTTTTTTATTATATTTACTTTTAAAAAATATATATATATATATATATATATATACTCTATTTTATTGGAATAATTAAATTTAATCAATGAATACATAGTAACAAACAAACAAGAGTAATATTCTAACGCCCTATACATAAAGGAAAGTGGAAAATTGCAAGGAAAATCGCTTTCTATTTTGTCACTTAATATTGTGGCTTGGTTATGTATATATACATATTTTTATTATATAATTATAATTATTTAATAAAAATTAACCAAAGAAGAAAAATTTTCTTTCTTGACTTAAGTAGGAGTTTACTTAAAAAGTTATGTTACTTGTATTGTAGTACTTTGTGTGTATTTGTACTAAAAGAACTTTAAAGCTTGTGTGTGCGTGTGTATGTGTGATCTACGAATGTGACTAAAAAACCGACTGATACTCGAACTGGTATCTCACTCTCCTTTCTTTCACACCAAAGTTATGTTATAGTCGGATTAAATGTATACTAATTTCATTTTATTCCTTAAAACGATTTTTAAAATAGTTGAGCTCCAATTTCTACGTTTAGGAATGGTACCCTACTGCTTACAATCACGAACTCCTGAGCGCAGAGTCACGGGTTCGAATCCTGCCATGAATAAAGACCTACCACTTAGAGAAGCATGATGCACGTTAAATCTTTTCAACGCTCAATGACCTCCCGTTAGTGTGGTGTGATAATTAGGAAAGTCATTCCGTGCTCAGGAGTCGTACTTGTAACTTGACCCAGTTTCAAAATTACCAGGTCCGCCACCATTAACCCTAGTGTTGGCTTACAGAGCGATGTTAGAAAACTCTCCCTCATTCTTTTACCCGTGAGCAAAAAAATTTTTTACCATTAAATTTATAAATGCATTATATAGTTTCTAATGTTTAATAATGAGCTTTGATCTAATTTTGAATTTTTTTAATAGTTTATGAAATATTTTTTCAAACATTGCAAAAGTTGACCCATTTTTGCATAAAAAATTTGTAAAAAGTAAATTTTTGAGTTTTTTTACTAAAAGCTCCTTTCAGTATAAATTAGCCATCATTATAAATATATCATAAAAATGTGCATACCTGTGAACAGTAGTTTCTCAGAAAAGGTATATCGAACATCAAAATATTTATATTTTGAGATAAATTGATTTTAATGTATACAGTGAGGCTTCTAATCGGCTAGAAAATAAAAAAATAAAAGGCTCAATTTACAATAAAAGGAACATGTTTTGGTTTATATCAGACGTTCAACTTTTAAGCAAAAACAAGTACTTTGATTACATTTTTCGCCATTCAAATGGGCGTGGCTCAATTTCAACGACTATTTAAAAATAAGTTTTAAGGGCTTCTAATTACCCTAGAAGTTAAAAAAAAGGTATTTTTAGAAAAGTTAAAATCTATGCAATTAGAAAATGTAAAAATCTCAAATTGTCAAAAAAATAAGATTTTAGCTTTCCAACACGCCTTAAACACCTCCTTAATTTGTGAGACACCCATAACATCGTCTTCAAACACTTGCTGAATTCTACGAATCGTTTCACTAAGAAAAACACCAATCGTTTAATAAACATTTGATGCATTACCTCTGCTTAAGTTATTTAGTCATATTACAGAAATAAAAATCGTGCGAACACGTATAACAGCACTTAACTAGATATTTTGCAGAAAACGACTGGTACACAAAAAAATTCATGCATATGCATTAGACTGTCACCTCCCATTGTGTACAGTCGCGTCGTCATAGAATCTCTAATGTGAATAGAAAATTTTAAGGTCAGAGGATTTCTTAACAGGCCTTCTATTAATGATAGAAATTTGAAATGATAAAAGATCTAGCGATATCACCGAACAATCAAAATCCTAAACTAATTGCCAACACTGTGTGTATCTTTCGTGTCATGAATTCAAGCCCTGGACAGATTTCAGACCGGTCGTGTTAATATATGACCCCTTAATTGCCGGGGAAAAGTTGCACAATTCGTTACCAAGTACCAACATTTTTTAGACAGACGCGTGTAGTTATGAGATGTAATAGGGAAAAAATGCATTAATAAGTAAATACTTTAAAATTAGTAAATAATTCACGGTCACTGTATTGAGTTCAAAAGTCTTAAATTTTTTTCAGATACAGTGCAATGCAAAAGGGTTTGTGACTACGCCGGAAAATTTCGAACTAGATGAGTGAGGGATATGATATACGTTCATATCTAGTTTTTATTTGTCGAGGCAAAATAATCAAAAGGCAGGTGGGGGGTATGAAGCCGGATACCAGCTAAAAATTTTCCGATCCTTCCGGGCGAAGGGCTTTGGGGACACCGAAAAAAGATTGTTCTAAAAATAACTAAGCTTATTTGATCTATCAATCTACTATCCAAAAATGCTATAGGCCGAGGTAGCAATCAAATTTAATAGTTTTCCTAAGATAAGTAATTATCCCTTTAAGACCCGAATTATTATTTTTTCTTTAAATATTAAATTCTTCTGGTTATTAATACTATATTTACCCCAATGACACTGGGTAAAATATTTAAAAAAACTCCCTCTCTCCCCCTCGAACGTAGACGGCACCCGCACGATTGTGCGGGTTGGGCGTTTTCTGTGGAATCGGCCCCCCTAAATTTTTACTACGCTCTATGTTGGGGGGAAACAACCCCTTTTTCAACTAAATTGTTACAAATAAGGAAATTATTGATGTAAAAATTAATTATTTCATTAACTCATTATTTATTTCCTGTGAAAAATTTTAAATTATGTTTTTGTTTTTGCTAAACATGAGTATACATTACATTTTTCACAAAATGTTTTCGAACTTTTTTCGTAGTTTTCAAATCTGCACTTTCAAGGCCTTGAAATGTCACCAACACATCAATTTCTATTTCAAATAATTCCATTGTTTCTTCATCGCTCTCATCTGAATTTGATTCTTCTTTCAGTATACGTGATTCATATGTTTTTTTCGCAGCATTGCCATCATCCGAAAATCTGTTTTAGGGTATAGAATCGGGAACAAATTTTTTCCACTCAGATTTGCCGGGTTTCTTTGTAAGGGAATTTTTAGGGGTTACCTCTATCTTGTAATGGATTTTAGTTTTCTATCCATTATTTCCTATTGTTTTGTTCAGTGTTATTTAAAAAAGGGAAAGGGTTTCTGGCCAAAAACATGTTCAACCCTTTTTTTTATAAATTATTTTTTTTATAATAACTGTCCCAAGTCAGTAATGTTCTTAAATTTTTAGCATCCATTTTTTATTTATTATCTCGATTACTCTTTTTTCCCATTGTGTGATTTTTCCGCTTCTTGGGGTTTTTCGAATGTTATTGTTTTTTATGTTTTCTCTTTTTAGTAGAGAATTGGCCTATATATATTTTATATATTTAAACTTTTACCAACCTCACCAAAATCCCTGGTGCTTTTGGGGGGGGGATGGATATATGTGCAAAGGATGAAAATGTGATACCCCTCAAAGAAAATAAATTCAAAAAAAAAAAAAAAAAGATAAAGAAAAAAAAGGGCTAAAATTGGGGGCCCCAAGAAAATATGTTTTTTAAATTTTATAGCAATATATTTCCCTTTTTTTTAAGCTTTTCTTAAACATTTAAAACAGAAAAAAAAAAACTCTCATGGTAAGAACTTTTCCTTTTTAGCCAAATGATTCCAAAAACCCCCCCCACGCAGATCGTGGGGTAACGAAACAGTCTTGAAGCAACATTAATAGAGTATAGTTAATATTTTTTTTTTATTTTGCAATTATTTAAACATTAATACAAAAATTTGTATGTAACAATTAGAAAATATTCATAATTACCTCTTTACGACAAATAAAAAAAAAGACGTGTTTTTTGTTGTATTTGAAAACAAAGAAAGATTGCATGAAAGCATTTACTAAACCACCATCTATTGATAAAAAGTGGTACTTCACACTTTCTGCAAGCATGCTCAATTGTTGAATTTGATATTTTCTTTTATACGACTATGCCAGAAGCAAAAACGTATAAGAATATCTAACCCGCACGATCGTGCGGGTTGGGTCTTAAAGGGTTATGCACTTAACTGTATGTGATCAGAAGTAACCGCACTCGTTAGTTCTGGTCCCGGTCAACTGATTATTCCGATTAAAGCTTCTTTTCAAGAACTTCAAAGACTTCCGATAGTATCATATCTAATGTAACTTTAATAGCAGTCTAACGACTAACTCTAACGCTTACTTTGCTAGACTTTATATAGCCCTCATATTTATATAAATCATGGTTTCTCCATTTGAAGCTATTTTCATAAACGTACAACAGTTAAGGGGATGGTGGACCTTCATAAAGTAAAAATTTGGTCAAAATTGCGTTTTTGATTTTTTATACTAATAATATTCCTTATTATTTATTTCATAGAATAATTCTGTCAAAGAATTTTTCATTTTGATTAATAATTACAGAATTATTTTTTTTTATTATTATTTTATTCAAATAAATGTTTATAATGCACTTTTCTTAGTTCGTAAATTTTCCCTTTTCATTGTTACGTAAAATGCGTCTTGCATTTCAAATTACAACATATCTCTTTGAAATTTTAACAACGCATTTAAGGTGATATAATTTACAAATTTGAGCATTAAATTTTAAAAAAATTCTTAACGGATCATATTTTGCGTCTTTTTACCTACCTTGAATGTGTGATAATTGGTGAAAGAGTTCATATAGTACAGAAAATTTACCTTTTTTTTCATCAAAGTTTATTCTGAATTTTTTTTAAAAATCCATGCACAGATGTATTATGTTGTAGCTCATCTATATATAAAACAAAAATTATGTACATATCTAAAAAACCAATGCCCAAAGAGCATTTTTAAAAATAGTTTAAAAGTTTAATTTTTTAAAAAAAATCAGATTATAATAGTTTTTTTAAAAGAAATATTTAAATTGTGAAATATAATAATCATTTACAATATTGATTCCCTTTTCAACTAATTAAGCTAACAATTTAAGAAATTAGTTTTAATG